TAAAATAGGTGATAAAGCAAATGACTAAGTGGTTAAGACACAAATTCAAAACTCAAAGCTTCAATATGGGAGCCTACATACCTATGGGCTCCATCCTGCTGATTCAGGAAAGAAAATAAACAACACACTGTGAGGGGAAGACGTACGTGCTGGATTTTTAGCCGGCATGGGACTAGAAACGTTGCTGGGAGTGCCTGCAACAGCCCTGTTTACACTAGTCACTCATACCCCATATCTTCCACCAATCCACACACCATGAAGTTGGTTTCTAGAAACAGTAATAAAGGCTTGAATGTGATAGATGTGAATGTAGCATCAGTAAGGAAGCTAGGTTAGGAGTCAGGAGTTATTAAATAAAATGCTAAAATGGGCACTTTGGCTTGTAACAGTACCACTGATTTCAATAAAAAATTTGCAGTGACGCATGAGATTGCTTGGCTTGGCACGCTGCTCCAAGCCTGACCAGTGAGTAGCTCCTTATGGATTTGCAGCCTTTATTTCTCCTCAGTTCACAGATGTAGCCGTGAACTGAAGCTCCTCCATCACTGGCTGGAGGACTCCAACTCACTGTCATGGTGTTCTTAGTTAAATTAGACACATGAGGCTGTGATGCTGTACCTGGAGGCTCTGGATAAGTGGATTTTAAACAGATGTCAATAGACATCTCAAATCCAGGATATGAAACTTTTAGCATGGCAATGAAGTGGAACTGCAGTGAACTGTAAACCATAAAGCATTTCTCTTTACCTTTCACCTCTAGTTGGACCTATTTGGGCTGATTTTGATCATGATTAGTGCTCACCTATGGGCTCTCCACCACGGCCTCCTCTGTCTCCAGAGGGTCACTCATTCCCTCTTCATTGATGACTCTGATGCAATGCTAGTATGCATGGCCCTCCTCCACTTTATCATCAGTGAAGGCATTAATGCTACTATCCACTTCTCCAACCCTGTTCCAGGACCTCTTGCCTACCATACAGCGATCGATCACAAAACTGGTGACCTGCTTACCCCCGTTGTCACTTCGAGCCTTCCATTTCATCTTGATACACTTCTCTTACGGCTCAAGAAACTCAACTTTCCCTTGAGGAGGCTTTCGGCGGTCTAAAGAAAGTGATGTGTTAGTTAAATACAAACCTCCATTTCAAAAACTGCTTTAAATTAATATGATTGTGTGATTTCATCCACCAATCACAATGAGTTGCAGGTCAGTAACAGCAGCTCCACAGTCGCTCTTGAGACAACGCATAAATGCGCCACTAATCTTCTCTCACGCATCAAGTAAACATCCAAAGTGAATAAAAAAAAACAACTGTATCTGCATATGATGCAGGATGACACCCTTTATTTTAATCCACCTGCTAAGCACCAATGAGGTGCTATTATCTGTCTGCTCCACCTTGGTCCCCTCATCCTCCATAACCTTCACACCATCCTTATACCAGGTAAGCTTAGGATCTGGTTTGCCTTTGTAATACCAGATGCTGTAAGTTTAGATATATTTAACTGAGTATTGTACTTGTATAACTATGCATGTGACAAATAAAGAATCTTGTTTCCTGTTTTATTGTGAAAGTCCCTGTGCAGTGTGCCTAGTTTTGCTTCCCCTTGTCTCATTAGGTCTGATTTGTCCCAGCTGTTCCCCATAGAAATAAACCACAATGGCGTTTGAAAAAAAAAAAATGGGCGTGTGTGTTTGGAGGATGTGTTTGTGCGTGGGGGTTTCGGGGGGGAGCGAGGATTTTTCTTGTAAAACAAAGGGGGACCTAGCAAAACAGTTTGGGAACCACTGCACTAACCTGCAATACTGGGCACAGCCTCACTTTCAGCCCTTTTAGCTCTGAATGTGTACTTGCTCTCATGGGACTCATTCACACCAGAGAAAATTAGTTTGTGCACAGCTCCCTGTTTTACCACCTGAACTCCATTCAGCTTCGAAAACTGTTGAATTTAACACAAAAGGATGGATGAAAAAGACAAAAAAAATTGCCAAATTTACATTTCAGGATTAACAGCTAACAAGTCTTTTATCCAGTTCTGCGTTATCTCTTACCTCCACCCCATCCTTCAGCCATACTCCATCCACCTTCTCATCAGCAAGAACAACACTCGGCTCTGCAGGGGACCCTGTCGAACACTGAACATCTGACATACCACTCTTCAGTGAGGCAAAACACTCTGGCAACACACAGAGAAAAAGAACTTAGAGAGAATTAACATTCATAGAATTAATTATTAATCAGTTATGCTGTGTTGTTAGATTTTTACAGTTTTTTCCATTGCCTTGGCTTTGGCTGATTCAAAAACGTTAGCTGAAATCTGCAAAAGAAACATCCATTTTACTCTCTAAAATATGCTAGTAGTATTTTACATCCAAAATGATCCATTTTATTGTCAGAAGCTGAAAGGTGGAAGTCACGAGCATGACTATTGTAAAACACACTTACAGAACTTGAGAGCAGTAAGCAATTTGTGAACATGGTGGAGTCTGCTCAGATAAAAATTCTGCAGGGGTAACAGCCTGAAAGAGGAGGAAGGATGTGTGGGAGTGCAACAAGGGAGAGACAAAAGAATATGGGAAGTTACACAAGAGTGAAGAAGATAGATCGCCATATTCGCAAGTCTTTCTACTGCAGTGTTGCAAGGGAGAGCACCGGGTGCTTGCCTGATAGGAATCTGTGGCTAACAGTTCAACAGTTGGAGCACTTACTCTCACCACTACTCTGTGGCTGTGCAGTACTATAATAATACACACAATAGGCCTGTGTTTTGTTTCCACAAAGCAGCTTTTTTGGCACTGACACTCTGTTTTGTTCTGAACAGCACTGTGCTATTTTTCTATTTCTCTGTTGCTGTAACTGCAGTTTACTGCATTGTTTGATCAGTGGAGGAACACATGCACTTTCACCTTATAGTCCAAGAAAATTTAAGGGTTCTTTTTCTCTACAGAGCAGAATTCTTACCAGCCACAGTGACTTTAGCAGACTTGACATATTCGTGTGTATCGTTGTCCTGAGTGCAGACAACAGAGTACTCTCCCTCATCAGCCAGCTGACACTCTTCTATAATAACTTCTGCCCTTTTCCCCTCATGCATGAAGATGTAGCGCCCGCTTGCTGTGATATCACACCCATCCTTCAGCCAGTGAATGTGCACGTCCTTGGAGCTCATCTCACACTTCAGGCGGGCTGTGCTTCTCTCATGCACACAGACATTCTGGTAAACTTGATGGGAATGCCTATATAGAATTAAAACAGAGGAAGGATGAAAATAAGAGAGGCACTTTAGCGCTAATGTGGACTTTATTAGCACATTACACTTACAAAGTTTTAGTAATTTTAGAAGTAGAAGCACAGACACTGATGATTACAAGGTGAAAGTATGAACAGAATTTAAATGCTCTTGCACTTATTAGGCTTGTTCTTTATATTCAGCCCCAGAAAAAAAAAAAAGATAGAGCGTACTCATATTCATGAATAACTATAATTAACACAACTTCAATTGCTATGCTTTTCTTGGTGCAAACCCAGAGGACAGCCACGTGTCCTTGTAAAGATATTTACATGCCCCAACTTGCACCTTGGGCAAGTAAATGTCTTGTTAGGCAGAGCTGTAATAAATGAGCTTGTTGTGAGCAGGGATTTGGTTGGATTACTTTCAACTGAGCACTAGGAGGGAGGATTTATTGCACTCCCCATACATCTTCATTTGAAAAACAGGGAAGATGATGTTGTTTTGCATAGCTACGAAGGAGCGAAGCTTCTAATCTCAGGGGAGGAAAACAAGGCAGTGGCAGCTCATATCTCAACTGTGAAGGTTTGTTTCCCTAGAAATATTAGCTCCAACAAGACAGCTCTGTTGGGAAAACAAAACAACAAAAACAAGACAAACCAGTTTTTTTTTTTGTGTTGGCAAATAAAAAGCAGCAAGGTGGCAGTGAGGTCTCCAGTGCTGATTGTTTAGTTTCCAGTGTCAGTGGCTTTCATATCCTTAATCTTTAAGGTGTAGGTCAGACCATCCTCATACAGAGAGACATCAGACTTTTCATCTCTTTCCCTCCCCTTTTCCTTTACCTGCAAAAACAAAAAACACTTCTGGGAAAACTATTTCCACATTATGTTCCAGTGTTTTATATTTCCTCAAACAATGGCAGTATACTGTATCTGTGGGTTCCTTTTATTGGAGTAACTGAGATGTTAAGAAATTCTTTAAAAAGCATTTTCAGTCTCATCCTATATGCGATATCATATGATAGTGTAAAAGTGTAATTAAATCCTATGATTCTCTTCCTGAACTACACACTAACCTTCCAGATTAGGGGTCGATCTGTTTTCTTGGAAAGATGGACCTCAAACACAGCAGTCTGTCGCTCATTTACTCTTTTTTGGCTTGAAGTCAAACACGACTTTAAGCAGTTCATTTGAATGAGATAAAGCAGAAGACAAGAAGGGTTTTTATTGATCAGTCAAGTAAACATATCCAAGGATTCCAAGCCAACTAGCTATGGATCTAGGGGGGGAGGGTTGACATGAGGGTTTTTGAGTAATATGAACTAAGTGAGAAAGTCAAATAAATACTGACACTGAATGGAGGGGATAAAATATGACATGGTGTTAAGTAATGACAAATGTAAAGAAAGCATGTAAAAAGGAGTATGTAAATGGGGACAGTAAATACAATAAAATCTATATTATGAGCAGTGAGAAGGAGTCCCGAGTTCCACTCTGCACATGCCGAAAGTCTCTTGTCTCCAACCTGCAGAGTGTAGGTGCCCATGTCACTCAGGTGCACGCAATAGAAATGCATAGCATGTGCTTAGTTCCCATCAGTTTCACTTCATATTTCCCATGAGAGTACTGGACCCACTGCAGCTCTGCGCCCTGAATTGCAAGCACAACGCTGAGATGAGGGGAGAAATCACAAGTGGTTTATGTCATGGTAACATTCATAAATAAGCAGACTTTGACACTGAACCAGAAAACTGATGTGCTTTACCAAAAACCACTGATCCTGATGTTTGGATCCTTCAGTTCCAAGACAGTGTTGAACACGATGTCAACTTTGGCAGTGATGTCTTCCAGGGGCTTCAAGACACGCACCATCTTGTAAAACATATCAAATGTAGAAATACTTAAATAATGACATTTTGAATTATTTCCCATCTTCACATCAGCTGACTTTTGCTTTACTAACTTAACTTTGTCGCCAAGTTGTGTAAACTTTTCTCAGTTCTCCCTTGCTCTATTTTAAGCTGTTTTTAAAAAATGTCATATCCCAAACCTGTTCATCTTTATTTGATCCTGTGTCATGTGTGCAAGCTCTCTGCAGCACAGGTCTACCTCCACCTCCACTTTCTTCTTCATCTCCTTGAACTTCTTGAGAATGCCTCTGATGTTGCTGAAGCCATACTTGGCACAGATCCCCCCCAGTCCTTCTTGTCAGCTCCAGCCAGGATCTTTAACATCTCCTCCTCTGTAGGTGGCTTCTTCTTCTCTTCTCCATACCTCTGCAAAAGAAGAAATATCTTACACAGGAAGCAGTTATACAGGTATATACTATGCTTGTTTGCATGCATGACATAGGAATATGTGCGATAGTAGCTGAAAAGAATCTTCCTCAGTCCCACCAGCAACTCTTTAGATCTTGTCCTGTGGGTATTTCTGGATACATGCAAAAACATATATCTGGCAATTGATCAGAGAGTGCTCCATCACACCTTGACAGGTTCTAGGAGTGTCACAGCTAGTATTAGACAACATGCGTGTGCCCCTGCTGCTTCTCCAGCATCTTTTTGAAGTACATTGGTGGTTCTGGAAACAAAGAGAAAGCAACTTTCACCTGTGGCACTAGGAGAAAACTGGAGGCAAACTGTGCTGATGGCTTCCAAACAACCCATGCTGTACGATATGGCTGGCTTACTTTCTGTAACACTGAGTGATATGGAGAAGGCAGCATCTCTGTGCTTGTTGGAGGCAGTGCACTTGTAGACATCGGCATCCTCCAAGGTCAGAATTTTGATCTAATTTGGAGAGAAGGTATTAGACATTAGGTAAATGACTAATGAAGGAAAAAGCAACGTGTCTAGTTACAGTGAGACGTTTCAAACTGTCACACTGTCATTCAGGTCATTTTTATCCCACTGCAGTACTCATTTTAAGCAGTAGAAGGCAGTGGCATGATAGGAATAACTCCTCAACACACAGTGTTGGAACTTAACAGTCATCCCTTACCAGAGAAACAGATGGCAAGGGGAGATGCATATGTCAGCACCCACAAGTTAATTGCTTTATAATAGCTATTTAAGCTTCAGTTAAGCTCCCCGGCTGGTACAGAGAAAGCACTAAATCCACTGTGGAGTGGTTATAGATAAAAGGTTCAGTGAGAGTTTTTTTCCCCCCGTCCTATCTACTTTTCCTCATGATGCATGGTGTGTCGTCTCACTTGACAGCACCAAAACGGGGAGCTGTTCAGCTAAATGATAGGCTGTACAGAGATACCACGCCCAGAAAGAGTATTTCACCTTTTAAAGCAACACATTTTTACTAGATACCCTAAACCCTGAATTCACACTTTCAGATAATGATGCTGAAATTACAGTCTTAACTTAAAAAAAAATTAATGACATGATTTATTTGCCAATAGAGTGACATTCAGTGAAAAACTTGAGGAAACAGAGTACACAAGTACATGCAAAGCTACAGTAAATACTACTTACATGTATAGTGTTAGATGACTAAAATTAAACAGGGATGCTCATCAGATATAACACAAGCTTAACATTAGTCAGCAGCAACACAATGACAGTGAACAAAATCCCTTAATGTTTTAAAATATCACATAAAAAGGGGGAAATTTAATCTTCTTCTACTTTCAGCTGCTCACTTTAGGAGTTGTCACAGCCCATCATCTGCCTCCATCTTACCCTATCTCTAGGGCATTCTCCTCTGTCACACCAACAGTCTGCATGTCCCTCTTCACTACATCCACGAATCTTCTCTGTGATCTTCCTCTTTTCCTCCTGCCTGGTAACATCCTGGTCAAATATATCACAATCCCTCCTCCGCTCATGTCCAAACCATCTCAGACACACTTCTCTAACTTTGTCTCCAAACCATTCAGCCTGAGCTGAACCTCTGATGTATTCATTTCTTATCTTGTCCATCCTAGTCACTCTTAATGAAAATCTTAACATCTTTACCTCTGCGACCTCCAGATCTGCCTCCGGTCCTTTTTTTCATACATCATGGCAGGTCTAACTAGTATTTTGTAGATCAAATTTCAATTAGGCCAAGGATAAGTCATGTAGTTTTACAGTGTCAAACCTTCAGTATATGCTGTTTGTTGATGTTGTCATGGGAAGATTTTGTTGCCACAGACAGTGGGAACCCACTAGCTCGCTCCCAGCTCACACTGGGCTGTGGATTCCCAGTCACATTTGCCTTGAATGCAGCATTGTCACCTATGAATGACAAAAAGACAGATCAGGTTAAGATTTATATTTTGCTATAACAGTTGCCATAACATTAAATGATTTAGGACCATCATTTTCTGCTTTCCTTTTGAGACAAGTAGCTGTAGGGTCATTCCATGAATGATAATAGCCTGGCTACTCTGCAGTATTCTGCATATTGTGATGGGCGAGCTTCTGCAGCTCTCTTAATCTATAATTTACAGGTAGAGGTAGAGTGAATCAGATTAAAACACGTAGATTTTATGCTAAAAAGGCACTAGTATTCAGCATAAGCAGCAAATGCTTTCTTCAGTAGAGGTGATGAGAACTATAAAGTCTTTATCACAGTATTTCTGTCCTTGGTGAGGTCTTTGTTAGGACTTTTATCAGATGCAGCCCGCAGTACCTTCGCTCAGTAAGAAAAAATGTTTACCTAAAGTTTTCACATCACATGAAACTTTTGTTTCCCAGTAGAGTTTTGTTTGTGTCATCCAGTGTTTCCAGGCAAATCATGGGTAAGTGTCTAAATTTGGCTGCTGCACGCTTTTCTTATAGTCTCAAGGGCACTTGTTTGCAATATAATGTGAGGAGAGATTCTGCAAGATGCAAAGGGCATTTTGTAAAATTTCAAGCTGCTGTGGAATGAAAAGAATGGTTCACCTCACCCTCTTGGGCAGTGATGGGCCGTAGCTTCACTTCAAAATCTGGGACAGACTCTCCCTCTGGGATTTGGGGGGATTTTTGTACCTGGTTGAAGGACTCCACCACAGCGGAGGTCTTACATTGAACCCCAGAGTGCTCTAAAGGTGAGTCAAGTACATCCACAGTAAGACTATCAGAATATTGTACAAACAGGCAACCTAAGTGCACAATTGTTTCTTTTTCCTTTTTTTAGAAAGGAGAAGAGAAAAAAGAACTGAGGCCTGACTAAGTGCTGAGAAGTCTGCAGTAGGTAATAAACTTTATTTTTGCGCTCTACATTAGGGGATTTGACATGGTTGTTGAAGCTAATCATTGATGTTAGTTAATTATGCTGCTTTTGCTTATAGCAAAGACAACTCTTTTAGATAGTCCTTCCTTGCCTGTCTCATAATACCAAAGATTTAGCGCTAAGAATGCCAGAATGAAGGAGGATCTCCTTGCATGCAAGATCCCTACCCTCTGCGCTCCTTGCCAAGCCCTTAGGATACTTGGTGGAGCTCATGGAGGAGGTGAAGGTGGACGAGCTGCAGGAAGAGGTCATCTGCCTCTCTCACATGTGCTGTTCTGTGTGCTCTGCTTTGACCCCGGAGGTCTGGAGGAGCTCTGATAGTATGATGATAGTGATGTAAAGGTGAGGTGAACTGCACCTGGCTTTAAGTAGACACCAATAGAGATGTGAAAGTATAGTTTTGCAAATGGCAGATATTGGGCTCCCACTTCCGTGGGGTTAGGTGCAACATCATTTAACTCTAGTGGATAAGAGGGGACAAAGGCACATCCTTTCCAACTGATACAGTGATACAGCTAATATCCTATATTGTGACTTAATAGGACAAGCGGAAGAACCGCTAGCCCTGTGCTCATGCTTATATACCTGAATGTGTTTAGGTCTATATAAAAGTGTGCCGGTTGCATTTAACACACTCTTCCTGTGGTGATTGGGTGTGTGTTCCCAAAAGCATCAAGATTGTAACTCACTTCCCTTCCTCTGCTCATTCCCTGTCCTTTTCTTGCTTTGTCATCCCCCTTTCAGCAGCGACTACAATAGGCCTTTGCCTTTTCCAGTCTCACACCAAGATCCAATTAAAAGGTAATCCACACACCTGCTGTGTGAGATAAAGCATTGTGTTTGTATCACTGATGAACTGTGCTCCTTCTTTCTTACTTTGAATTTGGATTTCTCCCTCATGCCCAGCCCTAATTTCTTTTCACATGTGTAGCTGTGTATCTACTTCTTTGTGTGGACATAATGAATACACACTATGAGAAGCTGAAGGAACAATACTGGATATATAAAACCTCCGTGAAAGTATGAGCAAATGTCAAGCTCCGTATACTGTTACCTACTAGATAGGATTATTTTTAACAAAAGAAAAGAACCGAACATGCATTTCACTACACGTGAGCATGTTTACATGTGAGCTAGTGTACAAATCCAACCTTTTTTCCTCACCTTGGGGTTTTGCATGTAAATTTGACTTTAAAAGCCAATGAAATGAGCAATTAACCTCAACATGAGTGATAAAAAATGTAAATCCAAGAAGTTTATGTAAGTTTTGCCTCCTGCAGCAAATAACTACACATTGAGAGCTAATTAGCGCTGTAAGCTTTGATACCTGCCATAGAGAGTCGTTTTTAAGCAGCCCTAGCAAACTCTTTGATGGTATAACTCTACAGTCTAACCGAGTAGCAAGTGACTGCAAGCTACAAAGTGCTGAACAGGTTGCTGTCTCACTGCAAGTGGAACACAAGAACGTCTTTTCTCCCTGCCTACTTCTCTGCCTCTTTGTTCAGTGTCCTTGATCTCTCTCTCTCTCTCTCTCAGCAGCCAGCATAGCAAATTGCAAAAGGATTTTTATTCCCCCCTTGGCTCGATTATTTCAGAAAAAAACAAGACACACAGCCAACCAAACTTACTTGTTAAAAAGCTTTTAGTTTTTCATAGATTTAGTCTGTGCCCAAGGTTTCTGGTTATACTGCTTCCAGCCCAAATGTCTCCTCTTATGATGTTCTTAATCCACACAATGCTCCACGCTCTGTGGGATCCTGCCAGTTTGGTCTCCACATTTTTCTCAAGTCTTTTTTGGTGAATGAGCCATGATAGGGCACTCAGCTTGAACCCCTGCTGTGTCCTGTCTCTGGACAAATAAGGCTGTGATCTGTTCTGGGTTATGATTGCTGAGGCTACACTCAGCTGGGCCATAATGCTAATATTTCCCACAGGTCACTTTGTTTGATGGTACTCTGTGGGCTATTGCAGGCATTAATGTTCTCCAAAGAGCTTGTGCTGACAGAGAGTTTCTAGCAGCCTCCATTTCTGATGAACATTTTCCTTTCTGCTTGGGTGTCAGAGGTCTCAGTATATCATTACAAGTGGAAAATGTATGTACATCTAGCAATGATACATCCATTAACCAATACATTATCATCCTCTGCTCTCAGACCTTGCGTGTCCTTGTGTGCTCTTCAGGATGTTAAAAAGCTTGGTTATACCATGTGCCGAGAGCTGCAGTGTGTCTATCACTCCAACACAGGATAAACGGCTAAACTATAGACTGTAATAATATAATACAATATAAAATAATATAATGAAGAGAAATGGTACAGCACCCCCATCCCCCCTTCTTTTTTCCAACTGGGGCAATGCCTGCGGCATTTAACAGAGGAAAAAGAAGAAGTCTGTATGAATTCCACTGAGGTCACACCCTTGATGTTTTTCTGCAAATTTGCAAAAAGAAAGAAAATCACACTTTACAGTTTTCAAGAAGATAACGTATGGGTAAAAAAATGTATTTGTCGATTCCAGTATGGCAGATAAGGAAAACTACTGATAGAAATAATAATATCTGAACACATCATTACATTAATAAAAACTTTAAAATGTCATATGCATGTTTTTTCTTTTTTCCCTTTATTTTTGCTTTTTCCTCTTCATTGTATGTCCTGTTCTTCTCTGTCTGTCCTAGTTCCTAAAAAACAGATACTGAGCAAAGGCCCATTTACAGCTCATTGATTTTACCAGGTACCACTTTTGTCTTCAGAACTAAATCATTCTTTGCAGCATAGATTCAAAAAGTTGCTAAAATTTTAGTCTATAACGAGATGCTAACACCTCACAGTTGATGCAGATTTTTCTGTTTCACATCAATGATGCAAACTGTCCCTTTCAACCGAATCCCAAACATGCTCTATTGAACTGAGATGTGGTTACTGTGGAGGCCATCTGAGTAAAGCGAACTCACTGTCATGTTCAGAGAAGCAGTTTGAGTTTGATTTGATTTGAGTTTTGTGGAATGGCACGTTCAGAGACAGAGACCAGTCAGTCACTTGAAAGTTTCTCTTTTTGGAGGAGTTAAAGTTCAGCAGGTCATCTTGATCATGTCTACATCGCTAAATGCATTTAGTTGCTACCATATAATTAGCTATTGTGGATACACTGTGTTTTTGGGACATTTTTTACATTTTCATGCTAATTCCGCTATTGCTATAAAGGATCTGAAAAAAAAAATCACTGCTGATGATTACTTAGTTAAAAAGTAGTTTAGAAAGTAGCACATGAAAAAGTGAGGGGATTGCACAATGAGATGAGAGTAACTCAAAAGAGAAAAAAAAGCAAATGTGAAAATATTGCGACAAAAGTTAAAGAAAGTTGGAAGAAAATTAGAAGTCCAGAAAGCAGTGGGAGTCTGGAGAGTCTAACAGAGACGAGAATATTTAAATATCCAAACCAGTCCAAAAGGCAGCAGGTGGGCACAGATAGCGTTGGTGCAGTGTGAGTTCAGGGTAAAAAAGAACTCGTCTGTTATGAAAACAGAAGCGCTTTAAAGGAGCACTGGTGGGAAGGCATTGGTGAAAAAACAGAGCCGATTTCAGCTGAATGATCCAGTCTTGATGAAGATGAGATGATGAGATGATTCTGATGACTGAAAGATGATGACTAAGTTAACTGAGAAAATGTTCTTTAGTTGCAATCCTACTCATATTGGCTGAAAGTTGAAGAGTGAGTTTAAAAAAAACAAGAATGGTGGTATGAGAAATAAGGTGAGAAAGTTTGTTGTCGAGATGATCTTACTTGTGTAAAACTGGCGGCCTCCTCCTGCTCATCTGTTTCAGTGATCTTTTATTATTGAATGGATTTGCATTGATTGCTCTACACAACAAGACCTTGATTTCACATCTATATTGATTCTACACTACATCCGTACCTATGGCCAGTTTAGATTCTGTAATTAAACTATGAAAGGTAGTTGGAGGAAACCACATAGGTGCAGGGAGAGCATGTAAACTCAGTAAACTCCACACAGAAAGACGCCAGCTAACGAGGGGATTTGAACTCAGATCATCTCTGCTGTGAGACAACAGTAACAACCATGGCACCATGTAGTGGTCATGCATCAATGCATCAATTCATCCACCCAGTTTTGCATTCCTAGTGATGCCCCCCACCCCCATCTTCTTTTCTGCTTAATTTATCAGAAGCACAAGATCCTTAAAGTCCACCTGATTTTTCATTGGATTCCCTCTAAGGATGCTCTGTGCTTTTTATCCTGCCTGGCTAATTTCTTTTTTTCGTCCTATGTTTTTGCTTTTTGAAGGCATCTCCCTTTTGTTTTCACTTCCTTTGCCTCTTATGAAATAAATCCAGGGAGGTGGACTGGTCTGAGTGGTCGGCAGAGTAGATCTTCCTCTCATCTCTAGAGACGGGGCCCGCTAAGACCTCAGACATCTGCTTCACTGATGATAGTTACTGACTTCAATTTTCTGAGAATGAATCTTTAGAGATTTTGTCTTCCTGCTAGATAGGAAAAAAACAGTAAAAAGTGCTTCTTGTAAAACTGCTAAAAACAAAACATGACCTCAGGAAGAACACACTGAGAATATGAGACCATTCTTATTTAATTGTAAAATTTAATATTGTTGCAAGACCAACACTTTAGATTTCTTATGTTATGACTAAACTAAATAAGCTACAGATAATCATTTATGTCCAAAATATATTCTTTGTTTTACATTTCTGAGGAAGGTATAAACTCAAGCCACTTTCAAACTTATGACAGTTCTTCCTCTCTAACTGGCAGATGATCAGTGTGTCGAGGTTTGCAGAAATAGCACCCAAACACAGGACTCACAGACAGGCAAGAACAAACTAAAACCAACCTTTATTTGGCAGGAAACCAAATTACATAACACAAAGTCTGCAAATAGAAGCATAAACCACACTGTGGCTGAAGAGGAAACTGAAACTACATGTACACAAGATGTAATTTGGGATCACAAACCATAATCCCCTGGAAACACCTGGAGTAAAAAGACACAGCTGAAGTTTACTTAGAAAATGACAGGAAGGAAGTAAAAATGGACACAAGACACAAAAGACCAGCAGATATCAAAATAAAACAGGAAGTAAGACACAATTAAATAAGGGAATCACTAACTGAAAGGAAACTAACTGAAAACAAACTCCACAAAATCTTCAGTAACCAAAAACTAACAAGAACTGAAGACTCAACATACAAAGCAATATAGAGATCAACTTAATAT